GTGTGGCACGGGTGAGAGGCAGCCCGGCATGCAAGGTACATTTAAAAGGAATTTAAATATTACTTCAGATGCGGGCATTGTTTTGCCCTGAAGTGAAATTCCCGTAGAATCCCTTTGAGCCAAAGGTGAGCTCAACATTGGAAAAGGTTTCTGGGAAATGTTTTGCTCAGGTTTTCAAGTGTTTTTGAGTACAATGTGCCATAAGACGCGTAGAGGGCACGTTTTATGCAAAGGTCGTTTTTGAAGTAGGTATTTTTTTGTAATTTGGTAATCGCCTTATCACCATGGTTAGAAAGCCTTTCCTAGTTTCAGAAATAAAACAAAAAATAAATAAACTACCGATAAAAGTAAAATACAAGATATGTGGGATGATATCGTTGCAAGAAATATTTGCGAGGCCGAGGAGCAGCAGAGGCAAAATACTCGAGATGTAGAGTAGCCAAAAGATCGAGAGAGAGAAAGAGAGGTTAAACTTACAAGCGGCTTGTGAAGCCGCAGAACAATAAAGGCAAGCACACCTTATAGACGAGAAGGGCTAGCGCTCAGAAGGTTAGAACTTGAGCGCGGAGTTTTAAGCGTTAACACTAGTAATTTTGTCAGTGGAAGCGAAACTTTTTAGATGAGTGAGTTAACGCAGCCACTTAAGATCGGATTGTTTCTAGTTAATGTTGAACGAGTCTGTCAACACATGTCCTTTCTGGAGGAGTCATGGCCATTTCGTCTTCTGGCGCTGCCACCCTGCAAAGTCGCACAAGTTACGGCTAGGCTAACAAACCGAACAAATCATTCTCTAACTACGAGAGCGCGAAGAAAGGTCTCCTGAAAAGATACAGATTATCCGCGAAGGCCTTCCACCAGAAATTCAGGAAAGAAAAAAAAAAAAAAGAAGAAATGAGCCAAGCCAGTCCTGCGCTGACTTCGCTTACACTTTGCAAGCCAACATGATGGAATAGCTGAAAAGCTCCGAGGTTTTTGGAGATCATGATAAAGTGATAGAGGTCTTTTGTCTAGAACATTTCTTCGAGGGTATTCCGCTATCTGTGATGGATTGGCTTAAACGCAAATCAGATGTGACGACTCCTGAGAAAGCTTGCGGAGCTTTCCGACGTATGCGAATTGCGACACCAGCTAATCCGCGAAGATAAGCTTTCTTTTGTAGGAAACCAGAAGAAGCGTACATAAAGGTCCAAGGCAAGGAAACCGAAGTCAGAACGTACATTTGTGGAGTCAAAGAACATGCAAAAGGAAGATGTAAATATCACCCAGACGGCCACGAAAGGATCTAAGTCGCGTAAAACCGTCACGTGTTACGTCTGACATCGGCCAGACCACATTTCGCTCATGTGCCGAAAAAGAAAAAGTGCAGTTTTAAACTGAGGTCACTCAGGACATGGTAGAAAGCCTAAAGCGTGCTTGCTTCCATTTTATAGGTATGACATTTTAGAGCAAATAAAATACACCTTGATTAAGATATATGGCGCAGTGAGGCAGTGTCAGCGTAAATGCAGTTCGTCCACGAAATCAACTGAAGTCGCCAAGACCCCTGGCAACGTCTCTAAATTCATCTACGTTAAACCAAAGATACCAGACTCCTGCAGGATGCGTTTGCCAGTATAGCATAAAATAGTGTAGTTGTAAATAAAGTTTCGCTCACGATGCCTCAGGAAGATTAATCATATATTTATGTATATATAGTGTTTCGAAGTTTAACGTCAGTTTTAGAGTTTTACAATGTGAATGTGACTCGTTTAGGAATGGTTCAGAACTTCAGATCCATATTTAGAAAGAACCTATTACAGTACAACTAAAACTAGCCTATACAGTGTACATAGAAGCTTAAAGGGGCCCTCCGGAGCGTTCTGCGATGGTCTATTTATGGCGGTAACTCAATCTACAGGCCCTAAGGATCCTAAAAATCATAAAATTACGGTCATGCGCGGCGGATTTCCCTTTTAAAATTGCTATCAAAGACCCCGGCACGCAACCCTTTCTGAGATGACCCCGGAAAACGGGAGGGGCATCTCTTTACGCGTCAGCCAATAGCAAGCGAAGGATTCCGGCGTCACTGCGCGTCACCAGCGCGGCCGACCGCCGACCCGCGGAGGAATCTCTCGAACACGCGCGGACCGTCGTCAAGGAACCCGGGCTTTGTGCTCGGCAGTCGTCCTTCGTCGCACCGCACCGTCGCGCTACTACTGCAATACGCAGTCGCATTCCACAGATGACAAGGAAAAGTTTGACTCGTTGACGTGGAAGGATCGCAAAGCTGGCTTTGGAGTCGGGATCCAAGGGAAGAAGGGACATGTGTCCCGCAAACGCACGCCTGCAGACGCCCCGGGAAGCAGACGAGCCGACGCGCCGACGCATCACCCCCTAGCAACACGCTTGCGGGGAGAAAACATAGTTCGCTTGTTTTGGAGCGATGATTGCGGACTATATTTCCCGCACCACAATCAGTTTACGTTTTTCTCAAACTCTAATTTACAACAATCTTAAAAAGTGTTGCAATAATAGGGAGTTTTAGTAGATCGTTTTCGTGCAGCCGCTCTGCAGAGCGGAGCGCGGAATCGCCACTGCGCCTGCGCGCCGATGGCCTTGGCTATAGAGTTCCGGGTAGCGGAGGGGCTTAGCGGAGCGGGAAACACGGTTTACTAAAACTCACTAATAACGTTCGCATTCACCGCGAGATGCAGCATTTCCATTGGTCAAGTTTTGGCGATGGGCAGGGAATGGGGGATTGTCTTCCAAAAGAAAATAGTCCCGATATATTTCTTCTGCCATCTGCTTAATAAACGGTTTTGTAATCTAAAACTTTGTATACATATTAACTTGCACCTACTACGCAATATAACAACATAAACAGACGATCGCAGAAAGCTCCGAAGGGCCCCTTTAATATTTTCTAAGGAGTTCGTTCAAACAACAAACGCAATATCCTTATAAAAAAAATACATATGGAAACTACGGGAAGTAGGGTCGTTTTCTCTTTTGAGTTTTTGTAGCGCCATCCTTTTGGAACGTTTTCTTCATGATCATTGTCTGCGTCGTTTCGGGTGTTCAAGAACAAATCCGCGAGGGGCACAGCAGGAACAGACAGAAGGCTTGGCGGCTCTCTGGGGTTCAGGTCTGGCATCTGTGTTCCCTGCTGTCTCAGTCTCCGTCCTTTCGCTTGTTCGGGATGCCCGTCAGCCGCGGCGTTCCTGAGGTCTTTTCATCGGCCAGTTGGAAGCCGGCACTGCTGAAAGAGACCATCGTGCCGCCGGGGAAGCTGTTATGTTTCTACCCCGGCGAGGCCGTGCTCGAATCACGGCGCACTTACAGGGACGGTCCGCAAAACCATCGCTCGGCAGAGACCCTCTCGAAGTCCCGGAGCCAAGGCTTTCGAACATCGGCCGAAGTAGCCAACGTCAACGGGTCTTCGTCTTCCTCTTCGTCCAACATCGAGAGAAGCTGCCACTGCGGCGACATAAACCTCCGGACCTTATCTTCGTGTAAGCCACTACCAATCACACCAGCAGGATCCCGCCGGCGACGCAACATGACTTCCCATCGAACGCTCTCGAGTGGTTCGACGGGGCGTCCGCGGCTGGGTTTTGGACGGACGAATTTCGTTGCGTGTGGAAGCCAACGCGGGGCGATTTCTGCCGTCGCGGCGCTCGTGCCGCTCAACCGCTGGTGCTGGCCAAAGCGCCGCGACGGCAGATATCGCGCCACTTCAAGGTCAAAATCGCTGCATGTGAAACAAGCTTGAGAGCTCCTGTTCGCGCTGAAAAACGCGGTGCTATGCGCAGAAAAAACCAAAAGCGCGTCTTTTCTTTTTATTATTGTTTTAGTTCAAATGGGAGATTGGTGGCTGAGTGAGCTATACTCTATTTCACCTTATGATGTACCGCAGGAAAGGCTACAAGCGCGAGCTCCTTGCTTGTAGCCTTCGCTGCGGTACAGCATAAGGTCAAACGGATTATAGCACACACCAGCTCGGAGCACGTGGAGCGAAAGCTCGCGCTGCAGAACCCTAGGGGGTGCTATGTTGCGCTTTTGCACTCCCAGGAGACTTGGAAGAAGGAAGTGACGTCAACGACTAGAGCAAGCGCAGATTGGATGTTGACAGATGAAAACAAAATCAACATCCAATCTGCATTTGCTGCGTTGTTGACGTAACTTCCTTCTTCATAGTCTCCTGGGAGTGCAAAAAGCGCAACATAGCCCCCCTGGGTTCAATCCCCACCGCTGCCCGTTTCGATCTGGTTGAGCATCGTACCGGCGTGAGGTCGTGTCGTGTATCACTACTCCGTGATGCTAGCGGTTGTACTGCACTGGCTAAATTGCTCATCTACAGCTGGGATACTATAGTCGCCCGTTGAGGCAGACCAAGTTTTAGGCTCTATAAACATACACACAACCCAATTTGTTTTATTTATTTATTTTTTTATCTCATTTGCAAGGGGGGATTAGGCCCGAGGCCCCGAATACAATCTAACGCGGTTCCGTCGGAGCTGCGCCACCCCATAATTTTGAGACTTATCTGAGCTCTGACGTGGTCCTACAGTCATACCCCACGAGTCCTTGACATTCTTCGCGGACCCCAGCTGCCCCGGCGCAGAGCAGCTCCCCTCGGAGTGACGTTCCGGCTCTGCTCTCGATAAACCTATCTCTGGAGCAGTGGCCTGACGCACCTCACATAATCCGAAGCGGAGTGCCCGAGTGCCTCTCTGCTGACGCGAGCGGCAGAGAGCCTGCGTTTAGGAGATGATGCAACTCAAACCGAGGACGGATTGATCGCTACCACGCATGCGTCCCTGGCGGCAGAAACGCTCGCAGACGACCCCCGACATTCCCTCCTCGCAGCTCGTTAACGAACGCGGCGGCCCGACCGTAGGACACTCTTTCTTCTGTAGGCTCCCTGGCAGCAGGCGGCGGACGCGGCTCCTCCAGCTCCCCCTGGAGGAAACCCCGGCGAGTGGCGGCGTCTTTAAGGGCGCCGTGACCCAGATTGGGCAGAAGTGTGCTGACCGCGGCGACGTCGGCCGTGCCACGCGATCCAGCATCGCCGCTACCCCGTCCAAACGTGCGACCCGGCGTGCGGAGGACACTCGACAGCCGACAACTGCGACCAGGACCCCACCCCGGATGGCGCCCTCCTGAACCGGTAAGCGTGAAGGGCCCCCGCCACGCGCGTGGCCCCCCGCTACGTCGGCGCGCGTGGCCCGGAAAGTCCGACCGACTGGCCGCGATACCTTGTTCGGCGACGAAACCAGCGTGCGCCCTCGCACGCAACCCGGCACTGGTTCACCGGCCAGACCGTCGCGCGCGACCCCCACAGGGCGACGACCGGCTGGGACCGCGACCATGATTTCGTCAGTCCCGTCTTTCTAGATTCGTTCGCGTGTCTCTTCGGTATATATGTTCCCGGATGTGACTCCCCGACCCGGCCTTTTTGGCCTTTTTCTGCGATCCCCGCAATGTCTATCGCAATATCTATGAGACCTGACCACGAGACCACGGCGCTCTCCAAAGCCGGCGCCATTCGAAGGCCCGCTAGTCCGGTGGCTCGGATCGAAGGACACTTGGAGCCGGCCGTCTCACTCCCCGGAGAACGACACGGAGGCTCTTTTCGGCGGGGCTCGGAGGCTACCGATACGCAGAAAACAAACAAACAACCGAGGCCGGCTTCTTCTGGTAAGATACGGTGGCCGTGACCTCGCGGACTATTTGCATACAATGCGGACCGAGGGCCCGATGCGGTGCGGCTTCCGCCACGGATGCGCGGGCCGGAAGCCCCCGGACCGGCGGCGTAAAAAAACAAGAAAAAAGGGTAACGTACACAATGTCGTATTGTTCTGGGTCGGAACGGCCTTGACCTCGTTGACTCGGGCGGGTCCGTCCCCGGCGGGCCCCCGACGTCCCGATAGCCGGCCGATGTCGGTCGGGGAGAGCGCGACCTTGGCCAACGGGGGCATCCCCTTCGGCGTCCGGGCTGGCCCCATTCGGCCCCGCGCCGTCCTCCGGCCACACCTTCCGATATTTGGCGACGAGGCAAAGCGGCCGAAAGGCGATGGGAGTGCCTCAATGTTGCTGGCTCGGCAAGCAACATTGAGGCACTCTAGGAGACCAAGGAGAGGAGCGACGTCTTCTAGGAAACCCGAGCGATAGTGAGAAATCCCGGCACGAGCTCGTGGCCGCGGCAGCATTTTGTTGCCGGCTATCTCTCGATGTTTTTCTCCAGAGCGCTTTCTGAGGGCATAGGGTACCATAGGGAGAATTCACGCGACTGCTGAGCGCGTGCTGACCGCGACCTTCCACACTCCTTTCGCCATTCCGCATTACCGAGATTGCCGATCTGAGCTGGCAGTTAATGGGAGCTCGTTTTGATCGTGCTGCTCTAAACATTGCCCTCAAATATGGCGTCCAGTGAATACCCCCTATACAAAGAATGTCATCGTCCTAAACAGAGTGCATGCACGTGTTCCATGTTATTTTCCGGCGAAGAAACAAAAGGCACGCGCGTTTTCCCAGAGGAATGCACAGGAGCACCTCAAAAGTAGACTGGCTGCTGTCTGCTTCAATTTGCCTCCCGGAGGAAGTTGCATAGACACTAGCTCCAGTCGAACCTCTAGCGTACATTATAATAACTCTATGCCGCCAACCATGGCTGTGGAAACGTACAAGACAGGTGCCACAAGCGGGCAAGCGAAAGTTCCGCCCGCCCCTTGCTTTCAAAAAAGAAAAGGGGTGTGTGTATGTTTATACAGCCTACAACTTGATCTGCCTCAACGGGCGACGAGTCTCCCAGCTGTAGATTAGCAATTTAGCCAGGGCAGTAGAACCTCTAGCCTGGGGGCTTTAACGTGCAGCACGCAGTAGTGATACGCGACCGCACGCCGGTACGATGCTCATCCAGATCGAAACGGGCAGGGGTGGGGCTCGAACCCAGGATCCTGGATTCTGCAGCGCGAGCTTTCGCTCCACGCAGTGCTTAAAGTGTGTGTGTGTGTGTGTGTGTGGGGGGGGGGGGGGGGGGGGGGGAGGGAGGGAGGGAGGGAGGGAGGGAGGGAGGGAGGGTGGGGGGGGGGGGGGGGAGGGAGGGAGGGAGGGAGGGAGGGAGGGAGGGAGGGTGGGGGGAAGGGTCTCAGGGGGTCCGGGACTGCCCTCCATTTATGGCGGGAGGTCTGAGAGCCCCCGTTGTACCTAGGTCCCTCTGTCTTGGTCCTGTGCTTGGGGAACACAGATGACAAGTCCTGGATAAATTGCAGGAATACATAGCTGTAGAAAGAAGCTGTAGAAGTGTCGGTTTAATGTTTTCGAAGAAGCACAAAAAAGGCACCCCCTCCTTTTTCCGGGGGCCTCTACCTGTGCTCGAGCTAGGAGACAACCGCCCAGACTGGAGGGAGACTTTAAGCCCTGGCTCCACGTGCTCTGTTATGTTTTGATTTTCATAGTGCATAGAAGCTTGGCATTGTACGTGCTTGAACCAGCGGAGGAAGTTGAAGTATCCCCACTCCGGGTTGCGAAAAAATTCCACCTAAACTTCTTGCCGCGAATACGGCCGGAAGCTTGTCAGCCTCAATGGGCGTCTGGTGTCTGTAGGCGAGAAATTTAGCCAGTGCAGCAGTACAACCGCTAGTCCGATCGGGGGACGGCTGCTCCCACCTACCTCTATTTATTCGTCCGTTTCAGACACCAGATGGCGCACGGCTCGTCACGTGGTTTGGTCTAAGCCAAAGAAAGCATTTATGACAATTCTAGGGGAAGCTCATTGTTGTTTGAGGCGAGGACGGGTGTTCTGCGAACCAGAACATACAGAGCGAAGTACCAGGAAATGGATACAGTGTGCACTGCTTGTGGAGAGGAGGACGAGACGGCTGAGCACTTGATACTCTACTGTAAAGGACTTTACCTTATGCCTACCGAAAACAACATAGATTTAATAAAGTCATTGGGTTTTAGAGACAGCGAAGGGAGAGTGGATTTCAAGACTGTAGAGATTACCAAGCAAAGATTAAGTGAATGGTGGCAGAAATCGAGAGAAAACTAGGCATTTTCTTATTAACTGATGGCAAGGGGGTTTTATAGCCTCACTTTCTTTGCAGTCCGGAGTGAGTATAGTTTTCACATTTAAATATTCTAAGCTTAAAGGGCCCATGAAACGATTTTTGGGTTTGGATAAATCATTTTAGATTGGGATTTTACTAATAGCACATCGTTCAGTGGACCAAAAGAAAAAAGGTAGAAAGTCAAAAGCCTGACTTTCAGTGCGAAAATTTGAAAACAGAGCGGACTATTTCGTACCTCCTCCCCTTCGCAACCTCCCTGCCTTTTCACTGTGATACATCCGCGGTCCCAAAAGCGTGTCATCGGGTCCAAACTGACGTGACACGCAACCGGACCTCACTTATTCCCTTCACCCCTAAGCTGACATTGTGGTGGAAGCTACGCGCTTGCCGGACCAATCAGCCGCCTCCCTTTCATCACCTGACTTTATTCTCTGCAGCCACATTTGCCACGCTCACGTGGCAAGTGTGGCTGGCCCAACGAGCACGTAGCTTCAACAGCACTGTCAGCTTCGGAATGAATGGGGTGGAGAAAGCAACTTTTGTCTGAATTTTGAGCGACGGGCTAATCTTCTAGGGGGAGAATGGATGTGTCCGGGATTACACAAACGCGAGTGCGAGCAAGAGGGGACACCCCCTTTTCGTCTTCTTGAACTGTTTGGTGGAATGCGCGATTTATGAGTTGAGGAGGAAAGCTAAACAGGAAAAAGTTAGAAAAGCGTTTCATGACCCCTTTAAATGGTAAAACAAAATGGCTAGGTGGCGTAAGCTACCGCCCGATCCAAAGGGCTGAGCCGGATTCATCCGTCCATCCGGTTGAACGCGCGAGTTCTAGATGGCGCCAGTATCAAAGTGTGAAAAGGCCCGTGTTATGCGCTGCGTGAAATAGATCCCCCAAACGTGTCGTGTGAAACCCGTGTGACCCTCTTCTCCGGCGAAGGAAGCTTCTCCCTCTCTCGCGCGCCCTTGGTATGTCTCTGGTCAGTCAGCTTAGTGTGCATAAGGGAGGAAGTGGCCAAGTGGGCTAACGTGTCTCAGCTCGGAGCGTGGAGCGAAAGATTGCGCTGGGAACCTCCTGGGTTCGATTCTCCGATATGGATGAGTTTCGTACCGGCACGCGTTCGTGTAATCACTACTGCGTGATGCACGTTAAAAATCACAGGTTAGCGGTTGTACTGCACTGGCTAAATTTCTCATCTACAACTAAGAGACCGATTACCCGTCGTGGCGTATCTCCATCAAGGCTGTATAAACATACAGAGCAAACCAATTTTATTTTTTCAGTGTGCATTGCATCGGACGTCAGTGATAAAACGCGCGGTGGCCGAGTCCGGCCTCTGCGCTGTGTGATGAAGTGAATGGCGCTCGTTTCTGTTCGGCGGTAGACATAAAAATGTCGGTCCCCTTTTTACTACGGTCGTTTCATCTGAAGTGACGTGCAGTAACGCCTTTTCGAAATCGTACTTTGGGGCGAGCGATTGAGAGCCAGGTTAGCATTTTATTCTGGTCAGCGCTACACGCTCAATGAAGACCTCGGGCGGCGATGTAAAAATCTGTTGCTCTCCAAAGTGTGTCCAAGGTGCGCAATAACCATTGGAAATGGTATTGAAGGCGCGCGACCGTCGGTTGATAAAATACGTGCGTTAGATTTACTTATTCAGTTTAATCATTTTTGCCAACGTCTTTTATCTGTTTCGAGTCTATTGATAATCTCAGGTAGACTGAACCTACGGAGTGTCCGGGCTTTAAATAAATTTGCTTCGTGTATGTGAATTAATAGCTGTTTTCTCTTTTCCGTGCTCGGTGCTGTGCAAAAATCGCTTAGATGGTATACGGTAGCATTGTGTGGCGGCGTTTTGCACGCTGACTCGCTTGCTGTGCACAGTATGTGTTCAGATGGAATGTGTCAAATCGTATTTCCGAGCGACATGATAGATTTACTTTGCTACAGTATTAATTATATTTTCCTGATATAAACTGGTTCATCCCTGCCCTGAGCCTAAGTTGAAATTCGAGAATGCAGACGGACTTAGCGTCCTAACAGCCGTAATGCGTTGAGAGAAATTACTACCATGAAAGAAAAACAAAAGGATACGAG